ATAGGTTAAGAATAGTTGGACCCAACATAGGTGAAATTTTTCTCAAATTGTCACTTTGATATCAATATTAATTACTTTAGTCATTTATCAATCTAACTTTTCAATTAGTAGTCATGTTGATGACATATTTATTTAGTCAAATAATTTGAAGAGAAGTTATATAGATAAAGATGATTTTAACATACTTATTTATAAGAGAACTGCACACTTGTATATTAGTTGGAGGTGGATTTGGCACCTTTTTGTGTGAAAAAGATTAAATTCAAAGTTTGATATATTTATTGTGATATTCTTCTCATAAATTACTTAAGACATCATAAAAACTTGGCACATTTACTCATTTACTCGAGATTTTACACCTACACTTAAAACATTCTAGCAGCTAAGAAAATATGAGTTTGTACAAGTAAGGATAAAAATAGGTTGTGTTAAACTAGGCTTTGATTAAATAGGCATGACCTATTTAAAAATTTTGAAGCCTAATTTTGACCTATTATTTATTATAAACTTTTTATTAAGCTTAAATCTAGCCTTTATAAAAGTATGCTTTGGCCTATTAGCCTTTTTAATGGCCTAGACCTTCAAATAAATAAATTATTTTATTTTTTAATTGGAGAAGACATTTTATTAATCTAAAAAAAAAGAGAGTTACATATAATATAAATAAATACGTAAAAAGATGATAAATGAGATAAACCAACGATAGATATAATTGAGACAACAAATCAACCTTATGTGTATAATATAGATTGAGCAACAGTAACAAGATATTAACAAGCAGACTCTCTCTTACATGGTATGTAGTAAGAATACTCTTTAACTCCAACGAAAGGATTAAGATTTTTAATTTAAAATTCTATTTATTTTAAAATTTATTTTATTTAATAATATTATATTATAATTTTTATATAAAATTATTGAATATATTACTCTAAATTTTATGAATTTTAAATAAGTTATTTTAATAAGCCTAATAAATTTTTTCTTAAGCTCAAACTTAACCTATTTAATTAATTAAACTTATAAAAAAGTCTAAATTAAGTTTGTTACTTAAATAGGCTAAGTCAAGCTAGACTTTAAAAAAAGCTAAGTTGTAAGCTGTCAGACAACCTGATATATTTCCATCCCAATGTGCAAGTCTATAGAATGAAAGATTTGCAACATCATTTGATGTCAATAACTAAATTATGAGTCAACATAAAATTAATATCAATTTGGGGGGATTGAAATATTTTTATAAGGTAAATTTAATTTGATTTAAATTTATATTTTTTTTTGGATTAGTAAATTTTCTTTTATGTTAAAATTTTACAAAAAATAATATAAAAATAAAACATGTGTATCAATTTATAATGTTAATGTAAATTACTCTAACATCACACATTATAAATTGATAAAATATATCTATGCTCATGTTACTTTAAGTATTTAAAAATTAAGTTTTATTTTTAAAATTAATTAATTATATAATTATTTTATTTAATTAAATTTTTTTGTTGAAAATATTTCTCTCTTAAATTATTAGACAACATAAAAGATTTCATGATTCATCTTCAATTAATTATATAATTAATTAATTAATTAAATTCTCTTTAATTTTATTTCATTGATTAATCATAACATATTTCTTTAAATATTTTTTAATTATTTTTTATTTATTAATTAAATAAAAATTATTTCACTTTATTAATGTAATGATCAATAATATTAATGTATAGTTATACTACTATTATGCATTTTAAATTGACAAAACTTATATGTAATAAAGTTATTTTAGGTTTTATACCGTAAAAGATTATTTTCAAATTAATTATTATAACTCAATTTATTAAATAATTATCTTTACCAAGTAATATAAATATATTTTTCTCTTTAAATATTTTTTTTAATGAAATAAATTAATTTTATATTTTTTAAATTATAAGTCATATTTCTAACTTTAATAAATTAAATAATTAAATATTTAATTTTTAAAATTTATTTTTCTATTTTATTGTATAACATTTTAGAATACTGACGTGTGATTTGTATTATCTTTGATTCACAAATAAGTTATAAGAGTTTTATGTATAATTTATACTTTCTTAAATTTTGTTAATATCAAATTTTGAATTAAAATATATGCTCAAATACTTTTTAATAAATTAAAGTACTTTATTTTAATTACTACATTTTTTTGCAATGATTTATATTACAGATGTATAATCTTTCTTCATCTTCTTTAATGTTGTTTGTCGTGGAATAATATGTATTGTCATATTATCTTGTTTCATATAATTTTATTTTTTTAGAAAATTAAACTAATCTTATGAATACCTAAATTTTGTTTAAAAAATTTTATTTTTATTTTTATTTTTTAAAAATTTTGAATTTATGTTTTATAAAAAGAGAATAAGAACAAAATATTTTATGAAAATTAATGTTTGTTTTAACAAAATAGGAAAATTCATATTGGACTTCAAAATTAGAAAAAGAAATGCAAATAATTAGACCTAGAAATCAATACTTGCCTTATACATAAAAATAAAAAAGAGAAAATTCAGAATTTTTGATCTTTTGTAAAAATTTTAAAAGCAAAAATTATACCAACAAAAAGAGAGGAAAAGAACCATAGAGAGGAAGACATCAAAAGGGGTATAAAATTTTTTGAGAGGAGATATTTTGAAAATAAAGAGAGAAAGAAGAAGGTGAAGAAGGAGGAAAGCAAGGAAAGAGGTTCACAAATTTCAAGTAAGTCTGACATGCCTTCTTTAAATTTTTCATATATATTCAAACACATTCATGTAAATTTCATAAAATAAAACTCTTAAAGTCCTATTTTAATCATTATCAACCTTTTAAGTCTACTATTAATTTTTTTTTCTTTCACCACTTCTTTTCGTCTCTCTCAACCCACCATTTTCATACATGTAAGTTTATCTCCATCAACTCATCTCCAACTAAAAGCAAATCCTTTCATCTCCACATTTCTTCTTTTTCTCCTTTAACTCACATCCTCAACCATGAAAACTTTTTTTTCCATTACCCTTAACCATGAAAGTTTCTTCTCCTCTACCCATCATCATAGTCATGACTTCTACCAAACTTATCTCCTTCCATGGTCTCTCTTAAAATGAAAAAAAAAACTAATTTGTTGCTCTAAAAACTCAAACCTTCAAATCTAACTTTTTTAAAATTTGGACATTTTTTCTTTTTTAAATAAATTTTTTAACTTTTTAACCCAAAATTTTTATTTTTTTTCCTTTTTGGTAGCAAATGGTCTAAATTACATAAAATAATGATAATTTTTATTTATTTGAATTTTTTTATTTATAAATTTTTTTAAATTCTCATATTAACAATAATTTCTTTCTATAATTATTCCTTTTTCTACTTATTAATTAATTAAATTAAATTTTTTCAATCTGTAAGACTTTTGTGTCACATGCAATATATTTATTCCTTTCATTAAATGGAATGAATTTCATATTTTTTTATTTTGATAAATTAAATAACTAAATATTTGATTACTTAATTTTATTTTATTATTTTATTATACACATTTTTTATAACATCGATGTATAATTTAAATTACCTTATATATCGTTTATCATATAATACGTGTATAACTATATTATTTTATATTCTAAACGTTATAATTTTATAAAATATTTTTTATCTTAAAATAATTTTTTTACTAAAAATAATTTAATTAACCAATTTCGTAATCTTTTAAATAGAATTACGTGGCTGAGTTTCTTGTTGCACCTAGAAATATATAAGAGTGAGAATTAAATTCGTCAAGTCAAAACAATTTTCAAAAATAATTTTTCTCTTTCTTTTAATATCAATTAATATTTTTAATATATAAATAAAAAGAATAATATATATAACAATTTTTTGTTTATAGATTAAATAAATATTTTTAAAATTATAATAAATTTATACAATTAATTTGAAGATGTTACATGGTGCTAATACTTTTTGTGTACATAAATGACTCTCAAGCCTATTTTTAGTTTCAAAAGATTATTTTCAAATTTTTTCTAAAGTTGTCTTTAATAAATTTTGATAGTGACTCATCTAATTTTTAAAAAATATTTTGTTTTTAAAAGATATTTTTTTAATATATTTTATCGTCTCATTATGACAAATCTCAAAACAAATTCTTTTAAAATTTTATTAACAATATAATTTTATAATATTTTGTATAAAATTACGTAATTTTAAATTTTATTATACCTAAAGATTAGTGAGAGTAGAAACTAGATCTGTTGAATCAAAATAATTTTTAAAATAAAATTTTTTCTTTATATAATATCAATTAATATTTTTAATAAATAAATTCTTTATTTTCTTAAAAAAAGATAAAAATTATTATTTAGAGATTAAATAAATATTTTTAAAATTATAATAAATTTATACACTTAATTTAAGATAATCATTTTATATATACTGTAAAGGGTTAATACTTTAATTGCATGTAAATGATTTTTAAACTTATTTTTTATTTTAAAGATCGTATTATTTTTAAAAAATTTAATATATTTTTCATAAAATTTAATAATTCTTCTATTTTTTTTTAAAATATTTATCTCTAATAGAAGTTTTCTATAAACAGGTTCATGGTTCCGACAACTAATTAAGCATTTTTATTGAAAATCATATTTACAATATATTAGATACTACGAAAAAAATATAATATTATTTTTTGAATAAATAATATTTACTTTTTATTTTTAACTAAAAATTATAATTTACTAATTAATATTTATGTCATTCTAATTATAAAAAAAAGGTGATTGCGTATTAAATTACAATTAAAAAGAATTATCCGTGGTAGTTTGATGATGGAGAATATGCAAAAGAACACAAAAGAGAAAGGCCCACACGACCCCACAGCCTATGGATTGGTTGCCATTACTCTTATTATGAACGTCCTTACATAGCGGCTAAAATTCATGTAGCAGTTAATTAGGAACAGAGAAAGAGAAGAGAAAGAAAAGAAGAGAGCCACCAAAATGGCCATTGGGGGATTCGACGTTGATGCTTCATCCAATGCCTTCAGCGGCAAGATAACACTCTCCGTTGTGCTCACTTGCATCGTTGCTGCATCCGGTGGACTCATTTTTGGATATGATATCGGAATTTCAGGTTTTTCTTCCAATAATTTTCCGCCTTTCTGCATTCTTTTCATCTTTCTGCGTTTTCGTCAAGCTAATTGATGAACAAATAACTATGATAATAACTTATCAACTTTTATTGAAAACTAATTTGAGATGTGTTATAAATTATAAAAGCATATATGCTTTTAATTTTTTAATATTTTTTATTCTTAAAACCAGATTACCAGAAAATGTTTTTACATTTTAGGGTTGTGTTTAACTATATAATAATAGTATTTTTTTTTTTACTTTAAAATAAACTATTTACTATACTTTTATTTTTTAATTTAATAAATATTTATTTCCTAATTAACAGTGATTAATAAAATTTTTAAATAATTGGCTCCTCTCTGCAAGGTATCTATGTATAAGCAGTATAATTTGCTTTCACAAAAAGGTCCATTTTTAGTCCTTCATTAAATCAAGAACCACAAAGGAGTTGTAAACTAGCAATGACAGTAGAAATTGAAGTAGCTGTTATTGCTGGTGTAACTGTTAAACAATGCTATTCATACGTTTTTGCCAGTTTCCTGTTGGTTTTTATGAGACCATATTGAATTCACACCCCAAAAGAGGACCTTAGAAAGATAAACCGTAAGAAGGAGAGGGGAATTTTCTATTTTTCTTTCTTTCTCTCAGTTTATTTGTCTTAATTTTTGGCCTTGAGGAGGAAGGGATGCTTGGATTTTGCAAGCTAAGAACCTACAGTAATGAGTCTAAAGATAGTAGTTGGAATGGCAGGTGACCCTTTAGCCGAGCAAATAGCAATGACCCTTTATGATTAGATTTGGACTGGATGGTGAACCTTTTCCCCGTGTCACTCGCTTTAGTTATACCAACTTTTATTTATAAATATCCGAACAATATTATCCCTTCTATAAATCTTTTATTTTTTATATTCTATAATTTATTTATTTTCTCTTTTTTCCTATTCTATCTCTAAATATAAACATCTTAACGACTGTTTACAAAGCATTTTTCCTAGTACATGCTTAAAATAAAAATGATTAGTTTAGGCTACTTTAAGAAATAATTATATATTTTTATTAAATTTTTAAAAATAAGTAAACATATTTAGTAAATTATTTTTTAAACAGTCACAACATTATTTACTTGTGTTAACATTTGTACTTTCCGTAATGTATTTAATTTTTGAAAGAAACAGTTTGTTAATTAATATCTTTAAAGTATTAGTTAAAAATAATAAATAAATGTTTTTTTTAAATTATGGTAGAAATATATTAAAATTGTATTAATGATGATTTTAAATAATTTTTATTTTAATTCTTTAGTTAATGTCCATAAAACACTAATTAGCTTTTACTAATAAGAAATGATATTATCAACACCAATATCATTATACGAATGAATAAGATAATTAGTATGAGCTATATTAGTTCCTAAAATATAAATTATTCTTCAAGTGTCTAAATATGTCATTGGTTAAATCATGCTAATTATGATTAATTAAAATTTACCAGAATACTTGCGTAGTACGTTTAAACAGTAACATAATGTCCAAGGAAGTATGTTCCTCGATCCTTCTCAGGCTGAAAGCGTAAACAAAACATTTTCGTTTTCCTATTTTTTTCCCATGTTTTTTTCACAAAGGCAAAAGTCAGATCCCTTACTAAAATTCTGTTTGCATTTGTACTTTGTCGCAATTGCTTGTAATTTTTATAATTACCAATAATTACAACTTTTCCAACTACATATATTTCCTTCATCTTATGTTATAATTACCACGCACGGATTTTTTTATTGCAATTTTATCTAAACAATAAAACAACTATTTGCATTTATTTTTGTAAACATATTGTAAAGATAAAAATAACTGATCTAAATAAGGGTTTTATTTTTCTTTGTTATTCAGGAGGTGTAACTACAATGAAACCATTTCTAGAGAAATTCTTCCCAGCAATACTGAGAAAATCTGCTAGCGCTGAAACAAACATGTACTGCGTGTATGATAGTCAACTGTTGACATTATTCACGTCCTCGCTTCACTTAGCGGGGCTAGTGTCGTCTTTGCTAGCCAGCAGAGTCACCACGGCGTTGGGTCGGAGAAACACCATGGTCTTTGGTGGTTGCATCTTCTTTGCCGGTGCAGCCGTTAATGGTGCTGCCCAAAACATCGCTATGCTCATCTTGGGTCGTATCTTGCTCGGTCTTGGGGTCGGTTTCACTAATCAAGTAAGTAAAATTCCATATATTAAATATACTACTAGTAATTTCATTCTAGTACATTTAAATATTACTGTTCGATTAAATGTAATATTATAAACTAATGCCGTGTGCTAATATAGTTTTTTTAAGTAAAATATTGAGAATGTTTATTTTCACTCTAATTTTAAAAAATTATATTATTTTTTTTTGACAATTGATATAGTAATACGAGAAAAAAGAGAGAGAGAATCGCGGATCAAGTCCAAACCTTGTGATCATAGGGAAATGGCTCTTACACGCAATTTTTGTTACCCTTTTTGTCACCAAGTTTCAGGGGAAAGACAGAGAAATATGTTGTATTAAAAGGTACTTTTATCTTGTTTTATTATCTAAAAAATTAGCACAAGAATAGTATAATAAAAGTAGCTTACTCTAGCGTGACAAGAAAAACACAGAAAAAGGAAAAAGACATCCATTTTAGTAGCTTAGCCGGTAGTTTTTAGGAATAAGAGTAATAATAGAGTAGGATCCCCACAAATCTTCTCCATCTTAAATGTTTCCCCTTTTCTCCCTGCCTTACAATTTATACTCATATGGGCCATTTCCTAATCCACTTTATGATGTTCCTTTCGAAGTGTGCAATTATAGTAGTTTAACTCCGTCTGAACTTCTCTTTTAATTGCCAAAACGGAAGTAACATCTCCCTAATCCCTACCCTACTTAGTCAAGCTTTAACTTCTGGGCCATAATGAGAGATACTGGGCCCAATTTGAGATATCCAGCGGAGAAAATTATTGAGTAAATACCGAAGTTATGGTGGAAATACTAGAAAGTGCAGTATTAATATTAACGAAATTGATGGTGTTTCATGTGACATCAATAAACGAAGGCCACGCCGGTGTACCTTTCTGAAATCGCTCCCCCAAAATGGCGAGGTGCGTTCAACACAGGCTTCCAATTCTTCATAGGACTTGGCGTAGTGATTGCCAATTGCATAAACTACGGCACAGCGAGGCTCACATGGGGGTGGGGTCTTTCACTTGGCCTCGCCACAGTCCCTGCAATCATTATGACAATTGGTGCATTCCTAATACCCGACACTCCCAGCAGCTTAGTGGCACGTGGACACATAGAGAAAGCACGAAATGCGTTGCGCAAAGTGAGGGGTCCCACAATTGACGTGGAACCTGAACTGCAACAAGTTATTAGGTTGTCACAAGTTTCTGAAGCGATGGAGCAGGAGAGTTTTGTGACCATATTTGAGAATCAGTATCGACCTCATTTGGTGATGGCGTTTGTTATTCCCTTATCTCAGCAGCTCACGGGAATCAATATTGTTGCTTTTTATGCACCTAACCTCTTTCAATCTGTGGGCTTGGGAAATGACTCAGCTTTGCTTTCAGCGGTTATACTTGGACTCGTGAACCTTGCTTCTATCCTTGTCTCTACTGCTGTTGTTGATCGATTTGGTCGAAGATTCTTGTTTGTAGTCGGTGGCGTTCAAATGCTTCTCTGCATGGTAATTAATCTAAGCTTTATATATAAACACACGCACTCCACATAGGTACTTAGCTATAGTTACATGACTATTTGTAAAGCTAAAAATGTGTTTTTTACATAATTTCAATTGTCTTTTAATTAAAATAATTCAATTATCTCAATTTTTCTTCAAAGAACTCGCTCAAGTTCATTTTTTTTAACCCAAACCAACTATTTTTTATTATTGGTCTCAATCCATGGTGTTTGGTCTGTACTCTGCACTAATCTGTTTGATCCTTGTGAAGATTGCGGTGGCTATTGTGCTAGCACTAGTGAGTGGTGTTCATGGTACAGAGCACATCTCAAAGGGCATCGCTATATTGGTATTGGTGCTATTGTGTTTCTATGCAGCAGGTTTTGGTTGGTCATGGGGCCCTCTCTGCTGGCTAATTCCAAGTGAGATTTTTCCTTTAAAGATTAGATCCACTGGACAAAGCATAGCCATTGCTGTGCAGTTCTTAACCGTTTTCGTTTTATCCCAAACATTCTTAACAATGCTATGCCACTTCAAGTTTGGGGTTTTCCTCTTCTATGCTGGTTGGATTGCAGTGATCACCATCTTTATTATACTATTCTTGCCCGAGACCAAAGGAATTCCTTTGGATTCAATGTATACAATATGGGGCAAACACTGGTATTGGCGACGGTTTAGTGTTAAAGCACAAGATAACCAAGTTACATGAATTATTTGTACATCTTTGGTCTTGTTTTTTAGGAAAAAAGATAAATTATTCTACAAGAATTACGTATGTATACATGCGTGAAATTTTGCTACAACGCTTGTCTAATTATATTGTATGTTGTTTTTCTATGGCACCCGTTACATGTGCATTTACATAATTGCATATTTAATGTTTATTAAATAATATATTTTTTAAAGTAATCACTAATACTGTAAATCTAATGATAAATTTTATTAGAATAAACTGAAAATAATTTACTTTAATAATATAAAATTTTTATTAAAATAAGTTCAAACAATTTAGAAAAATCGGTTTTTTTATAAATTATTCATAAACTCTTTTAAATAATTCTTTTTTTAAGTTAGAGTGCTAAGGTGACAAAATGCTAATAAATATGCAATGTGTTACTATATATATATATATATATATTATCTACGTGGTAGATTTTTATAAAAGTTTATTTCTATCATGCATAGATATCGTGTTCATGACCTCTTAACACCTGATACACTGTTTAAAAGGAAAGCGCAATTTTAATTACTTGTTCATCAATTTTATTTTTGTCTAAGATCTTCAACGCAGAAGATGCTTGTCATACCGTTAAAATCATATATATCAAGAATGGCCTATGGGCTTGAACAGATGAAAACAGAAAAAGAAAAAGCAAAAATAAAGGATGCTAATGCCACGTCCACAACTTATCTCTGTTGGTTGGACATTTCAACTTTATAGCCATTTCCTGTAATTTCTGTGTTAACCTCTCTTCATAAAACAATTGGATGATAGAGACTAGAAAGGAAACAAATAGAGAAAACGGCATGTCTCATTTCCATACTAAATTCTTATCTCTTGTACCCACCACCTTTCAAGTCCCATGCTTCATTCTAAATTCTCGCGATAAAAACCACCACTATGATTAATTGGTATGATTAATGCTATATTTTCTTTCTTTCTTGATAAATTACAACTAAAACTGAGCAAAAGTAGTCCTATATAGCAACAGCACTTCATCAACTTCCGCACAATGCCATAAAACTAACAAAAATGTTGAGGTCATGTATCATTGATAAGAACTCACAACTCCATAGCCTTAATTTTATTTTCTATGTATGTATAGTTACTCAGCCCATTATGAAGATTTTTTTAGTATTTTAACCTCCTTGTATGTCTTAATAATGAGAAATATTCGGCTCAATCATGTCCACATATGAAGCATATCCAGCCGTATCTGCAAGAGATCAAGGATGTATAATTTAGATTGATTGTAATTGATCCTTTATTAGCTATTAGCATATTGTTAGCATAATCTTAGGAACTGATATCTGTACTGATATCTGTTTTTTTCCTTTTTTAGCTAGTTGCTGTTTTTGGCAGGTATAGAAGTTGTTTTTGCATATGATATGTATAAATACATGTATCATCTCTCTCAACAGAATAGAACAGAAACACACATTCCTTTTAGCATGGTATCAGAGATTGGAATAACCAAGCTCTGACAGACATCACAAACAGACAGATTACAGCTGCTAAAATGGCAGAAGAAGAAGCAATACCTCAGACAGAGGACAATATGAGGAATCACAAAGCTGAACCCAAGAAAGGCCCATCACCCTATGACTTGGGTGCTAATGACAATCCAGGGAGTGTAATTACGCAGGTACAGTTGCGTGGAGAAAACTATGAGGAGTGGGCGCGTGCCGTGAAGGTGTCACTGCGAGCTCGAAGAAAGTGGGGTTCCTTGATGGAACCCATGAAAAACCACAAAAAGATACACCTGAAATTGAAGATTGGTGGACTGTGCAGTCCATGTTGGTCTCCTGGATATTAAACACAGTGGAACCAAGCCTTCGTTCTACCATCTCGTATGCAGAGAATGCAAAAGACCTGTGGGAGGACATAAAAGAGCAATTTTCCATGGTCAATGGACCACGAATTCATCAGTTAAAGGCTGAATTGGCGGAATGCAAACAAGAAGGGACAACCATGGTCACGTACTATGGAAAATTGAAGACTATATGGGATGAATTGGCCAACTATGAGCAAATCCCGACATGCACCTACGGAGGTTGTAGGTGTGGCATTAGCCTGCAACTGGAAAAGAAAAAGGAGGAAGAAAAAGTCCATCAGTTCCTGATGGGTTTGGATGATGTCAGATATGGAATTGTGCGATCAAACATTCTAGCTACAGATCCACTTCCTTCTATTAACAAGGTGTATGCCACCTTAGTGCAAGAAGAAAGGATGAAGCTGATTACTAGGGCGAAAGAAGAAAGAGGAGGAGTGATGGGGCTCTCGGTGCAAACAACGTACAAAAGCAAAGCAAAAATTGAAGCAAAACAAATCACATGCTCACATTGTGGCAGATCTGGGCATGATATCAAGGGATGCTTTCAACTAAATGGGTATCCTGAATGGTGGGGCGATCGACCCCGCAACGAGGGAACAAGAAACTGAGCTCCTCAGAAACCAGGTGGTCGTGGGAAAATTGGGACTACGCGTGCAAATACAGCGCAGGTCATGAATGATTCAAATGAATCGCACAATGCTTTAACTGGGCTCAGCAATGAGCAGTGGCAGACATTGATTGAAATGCTCAACACTGGCAAAGGAAATAAGATAGAAAAGATGACAGGTAAAGAAGCTTGTGATATATGGATTGTGGACAGTGGAGCCTCTAATCACATGACAAGAAGCTCAAAGTATTTGAGACAGCAACGCAAAGTTGCAGCATGTGCAGTAGGACTGCCTAATGGAGAGGAAGTTCTTGCTGAAAAAGCAGGAACAGTGACCCTTGAGGGGGGGCTTAAATTACAGAATGTGTTATATGTGCCACAATTACGATGCAATTTAATCTCAGTATCTCAATTAACTAATGACATGAATTGTTCAGTATTGTTCACTAATAAGCTTTGTGCAATGCAGGACCTCACATCGAGGATGATGATTGGAGCGGGTGAGCGAAAAAATGGGCTGTATTTATTTCAAGGGATTCACACAACAAAAGCATATCAGATAAGCATGGATAATCAATTCGACCTTTGGCACAAGAGAATAGGGCATCCTTCAAACAAAGTAATTCAAATGATTGCTGGTGTAAACCATGATTTTCCAGTTGAACATATGAATAAGATGTGTGAGGTGTGTCAAAGATCAAAACAAACAAAAGAAAAGTTTCCTTTGAGCAATTATCATGCCACAACCATTTTTGACTTGATCCATTGTGATTTATGGGGGCCTTATAGATCCTCCTCATCTTGTGGAGCCTCGTATTTTCTAACAATCGTGGATGATTATTCTCGAGCGGTGTGGATATATTTGTTGCGTGAAAAGAAGGAAGTATCAAACACTCTTATAAATTTTTTTGCCCTCATTAAAAGACAATACAACAAACATGTTAAGAAAGTCAGAAGTGACAATGGCACCGAATTTATATGTTTACACTCATATTTTTCTCAACATGGGATCATTCACCAAACCTCATGCGTCGGCACGCCTCAACAAAATGGAAGGGTAGAAAGAAAACATAGACACATCTTTAATGTGGCTCGAGCATTACGATTTCAAGGAAATTTGCCCATTCAGTTTTGGGGAGAATGTGTTCTCACTGCAGGGCATTTGATCAATCTTACACCTTCTTCTGTTCTTCAAGGTAAAACTCCTTATGAAATGATTCATGGAAAATTACCTAGCTATGAGCATCTAAGGGTGTTTGGATCACTTTGCTTTGCACAAAATCAATTCACTAAAGGGGACAAGTTTGAAAGTAGAAGCAGAAAATGTGTATTTGTGGGGTACCCGTTTGGTAAAAAGGGATGGAAACTATATGATTTGGACAAAGATGTCTTCTTTGAATCTCGTGATGTACAATTTGTGGAAAATGAATTCCCTTTTGCATCCCCGACTAAGCCAGCTGCGGTCATTACCCCAAGTACTGATGAATCTTTCTTTGATGAAAACTCAAGGGATCATCTCACCCCTGATGATCAGGGAGGTCAGTAAACTTCCCTCCATACACCCACACCACAAGATGACATCACGACCACTGAAGAGGCAACCCCTATTAGCTCTCTTCCCCAGCAAGAAGATAGCAGTTCCCCGTCTCCAGTGGCTGAAGAACCATCTGCGGTCCCACTTGGCAGAGGACATCGCATAAAGAAGTCTTCCATACGCCTTCAAGACTATGTTACTAATACTATCAGCTTCACAAGCCCATCATTCCGCTCTCTCCCTCCATCGTCTTCCTCAGGTGCGTCCTATGCCTTAACTAATTATGTTAGTTATAATAAATTTTCTGCAAAACATCTCAATTTTCTGGCTGCGATAGGAACAGAACAGGAACCAAGGCACTATAATGAAGCTGCTCAGGATGCTCGCTGGCAAACAGCTATGGCCGACGAAATCCAAGCCCTTCAAGATAACGGCACCTGGGAAATCACTACTTTACCCCCTGGAAAGAAAGCTCTTGGGTGCAAATGGGTTTACCGAATAAAATATAATTCTGATGGAAGCATTGAACGCTTCAAAGCTCGCCTAGTCATCCTGGGAAATCATCAAGTTGAGGGGATGGATTTCACTGAGACATTCGCACCAGTGGCAAAAATGGTGACGGTTCGCACCATTCTAGCCGTGGCTGCTGCAAAGGATTGGGAACTTCACCAAATGGATGTTCATAACGCCTTCTTACATGGTGATCTTTCAGAAGATGTTTTTATGAAACTACCGCCTGGGTTTCATGTACAAACTCAAGGAATGGTATGTAAACTTAAGAAATCTCTATATGGACTACGACAAGCACCAAGATGCTGGTTTGCCAAGCTATTCTCTGCTCTTCTCCGTTATGGCTTCCTACAATCTTCCTCGGATCACTCATTGTTTGTCTTTCGTCATAATCAGATTCAACTTGTCGTCCTTGTATACGTTGATGACCTCATCATTGCTGGAAACACTCCCTCGACTACACAACAGTTCAAAGACTATCTCCATACTTGTTTTCATATGAA